ATATAGGGGGCCACAAACTCATATGGGGCACACAACTGGGGTGACATGTCTGTATATAGGGGTCCACCCCAGGAAGAGGTTCATTATGGGAGGGGTCTACATATAACTCTATAGGGGGGAGTGACAGGTCTGTATACGGATGTGGGGGGGGATCTCACCCGCGGACGGCTTTCCGGTCTCCCGCTCCTCCTCGGCTCCGCTCCCCCCGGTCCGCTCTCCGGACTCCGCTGCAGCATCCTGCGCCACATCCATCAGCCGCTACCTCCAGCTCGGGAATGTTCGGCAATCTCCGGAGAGCACCGGATGCCAGCCTATCACCGCGTCCGGCGTGTAGGGGGCGGGGACTAAGCTATCCAGCGAGGCTCTGACGGAAATTGACGAGTGAAGGCGATCCGAGCCGAGGGAGTTCACCTCGGATGTAAGAATGGTTGGCATGGAGACACAGGAAGACGGAAGTAGTGGTTGTTAGGGACGCTGAAGGTCGCCAGGCACCGCTGCTAGCTATGGAGGTGCCGGTCCCGGAATGTCTGCGTTGGAGCTGCCGGGATGTGGGAGGCTGGAGAGGAAGGGGGGTCACCTGTTCCGCAGTGAGGGGGTACAGAAGGGGGGTCACCTGTTCCGCAGTGAGGGGGTACAGAAGGGGGGTCACCTGTTCCGCAGTGAGGGTGTAGAGAAAAGGGGTGGGGTCATCCTCCTGTGTGGTGCAGCGAGTGTTATGATTGGCCGGGTGGTGGGTCTGGGCCGGACAATCCGGGTGGAAGCTCTCTGACTGACATGGACCCGCACACACAACCTGTCCCCGGGCTGGGGGGTCATTTCCCCGTCAGTCAGTACCAATGTTGGGTTGGTGACACATTCGGTGATGGATCAGAGCGGGGTCACCATCTGTGACTCCTCCCAGGATTATACAGGTACACGCCCCACATTCAGACCTGATGTCATGTGAGTGAGGCCGGGACACGCAATGGAAGGTACAACAACACCCACCAATCACTGCCATGGTGACCTGTCCCAAATCCTCGCACTCCGGGGTGACAACACTGCCCCCGGGGTCACCCAACCGTTCCCTGGAGAGGCGTGTCCAATATAGAGCGCATGATGATCCGTGTGCGTGTCATTCCAGGCGTGCTTCACCGACAATGCAATCAATGGCCGCAAACTCATCCATGTCACGTGTTCCACCCTGCCACAGATGGGGGTCACCGACTTCCAGGACATGAAGGTGAGTCCGGAACAGCACCCGCGGCCTAAAGTGTCATCCTTGTCCCCTCACACACTCAGCTCCTCCCCCACACAAGTCTTCCATGTAGTTGTCCCCCTCCTCGCCTCATCCTGGCCCCATCCTCATCCTGGCCCCATCCTCCTCCCTGCCCCATCCTTGTCCCCTCCTCGCCTCATCCCCTCCTCCTCCCTGCCTCATCCTGGCCCCATCCTCATCCTGGCCCCATCCTCATCCCCTCCTCCTCCCTGCCTCATCCT